CCATGCTGGCCGAGCTGTCACGCCGAACGGTCTTTTGGGAGTCGTTCCGAATGTCCCACACATACTGTCTGTAGCTGCGTTCGGGCGGCAAAGATTTCTACGGGCTCCCGCGTAAGTGCGCGAGTCAACAGACAGCCTGCCGCGGAGCAGGCCACTGAAAGGCACCACAGCGGTGCACGATGGCCCCAAGGCAGCTGAGGTGTCACATGTGACGGCCTCGTGGGCGTTGCTCGGATCGTCGCCCCGCAGAGTCCCTGGACCTCTTCCCATGTGGGTTCTGACCAGATTTTCGAGGCGCCTCTCAAGAGGTCGAACAGGCGGAAGCGAAGCAAGAGTACCCGTATCCGTACGTTTTCCTCCTTTGAAAGACAAGCCAAGAATGCTCCAAGCCGGCTCGAGAGAGCCTCAAGGGTGCCCCAAACAATGCCTTGGACGGAAAGATGCGCCCCCGACAGCCCTGGAGAACTCATAAAACCCCAAAAGACTACAGTGAATCGTTCAAGCGGTAGTTGGTGCGATGCCACAAACGCGTGGATGCAGCGGCCCAAGCGCAACCAACCAACGCAGTGATGCGCAGCCAGTCGGATGCACTCGCGCATGCTTTCCCGAGCAATGCACCAGGCGTCACGATGCAGTGTTTGAGGTGTGCGGCTGCAAAGGTTCAGGCATGCGGCTGACATGGGCCAGGCGTATGGATGAAAGGAACGTGGCGTGATGGCGCAATGACCCAGATCACTGCTGACGCAGTGGCTCAGGCAGGTGTTAATGCAATGGGGCGGGCGTGCCGCCCGAGTAAGGCATCCTTTCGCTGCTCGTGCCTCACAGTCGTGGGGCGCTTCGTTTTGCTGCTTCGCAGTCGAGATGCGCTCCGTCGTTCTGCGTCAGTCGTGATGAGTTTCGCTTCTGCTTCGAGTCGCTGCGCGCTCGCAGTCGCCCTGAAACTCAGTCCTGTTAGATGTCCCCGTGTAGCTGCCACTCGCGCATTATCCAGTCCACGCGACCTGCCGGGCGCTGGGCTCAGTTGCAGTGGTGGTGGCAAAGCCCCATGGGAGAACCATCGGAAGAGGCAGTGGGCGGGGGGGGGGCCAGAACCGAAACGCGCCCCCCTCCCTCCCTGCCCCCCCCCGAATGCTAAGCGCTTAATGCGGCCGTGGCCCATCGGATATGCGCCCCCGGCAGTCGCCCCCCTTTTCGTCCGCCCAGCTGGCGCCTACAATTTCGAAGCTCTCGTCGAACATGCTAGTTGGGAGGGAGGGGAGGGATAGGATACCCCTAAGCGCTTTGCGCCCGTGCCCCCCTTAGCACACCCCTCACCTGGCGTTGGTTCCCAGGCTCGGGGGACTGCCGAAGGGGAAAGCACTACTCCCCCCCCCCGGGTCACCAAGCAACGCACCCTGTGGGCTCCTGGTATCCCGAAACCCTCTAAAGAGGAAAGGAGAAGTGATTCCCGACGTGACCCCCAAAAGAAATCAGCTTTTCCATTTAAAACGGACTGGTGGTGCGAGATGTTGGACTTACCTTGATCTCTCACCGACACCCGAGATGCAGCAAGCAGTGATGTCTTCCAAGGCAGGGGCGTGAAGGCTTCTGGCTTCAGATGCCGACGGGAACTTCATCGTGCTCACCGGTGGTACGTGTTCGGCCGAGGGAACAAACAGATCGCACCACTTGGCCGAAGCACGTACAGTTCCAAGGTTTCGTGCGACGTGGCTGTTGAGAATTGCCGTGAGGGGCCCCAGGCCCCGCTTGCCGTGGCTGGTGTGATTTGCTGTCGCGGGTGGTTGGTGCCTCCTGGATGATGTCCGAGGAAGTGAGAGGGCGAGGACGACTGTGGGTTGGGGAGTGGAGGACTCGCAGCGGGAGCGGGGAGGGGGGGATTACAAGGATGGGAGATCCCGAAGATCATCCGTAGGCAGGGGGGGCGAGAAGGCAAGGCGACGAGAGGGAGGGACGGAGGGACGGAGGACGCACGGGACGGCAAGGTCACGCGTGAGACCCCTCGTGCCTGGGTCGGCCGAGCGCACGGCGGAGGCAGCAGCGGAGTCGAGTCCACTGGCCCATGCGATGGCGCGCCGAAGCAAGGCAACCCGACCCCTTTCCGCACAGACTGGAACAGATAGTGCAAGCAATGGCTGGGGCCCACGGTCTCGTCACGTGTTGTGGCACGTGGCTTTCGAACGATCTGCGCCGTCAAGGGCTCCTCCTGGGCCCTTGAAGTTCCTCTTGGCCCATTTGGGGCCCCTCTGGGCCGCCTGGAGACCTCCAGGGGGATCGCTTAGGGGCCTCTCTGGGGCCTCCGGGGGCCTGTTGGGCGCTTCTTGGAAGCCTCTGGGCCCTCTTGGGCCCAGCTTGGCGCCCAGCTTGGCGCCGAGAGCGGATGGCTTTGCTAGCTTTGAGCGGTTTGGAATCCTCCTGGGGCTCTTCTGGTGCCCTCTTGACACAGTCTGGGGGCTGTCTTGGGTCTTTCTTGGGCCGTACTGGGACCCGTCTTGCGACTCTCCTCGGACCCTTGTGGGCTGACTGGGGGCGGTTCTGGGACCCTCTTGGGCCTTTTTGGGGCGCCTGGAAAGCCTGAAAAGCGATGTGGGGAACATCGTTCACAACCATCGGAAAATCATTGATTTTTGCCTCCCAGGGGCCTTGGGCGCTCTCTTGGGGCCGTCTTGGAGCCTCTTGATTGTGTCTTTGGCCGTTTCGGGGGCCCCTTGGGCGGTCTTGAAGCAATCTGGAGGGAGTCTTGGGGCGCTCTTGCACTGTCTTGAGGCCCTCTTAGGCCTCTGTCAGGCTATCTTGGGACGCTCTCAGAACAGATCGGAGAGCACTGAGCGGCCGTGGGGGGGAGGGCACACATTTATGGTAGAGGTCCCGGCCTCAGAAGCCCTGGCCCCAGCTCCCCGTCTTATGCATACATCGCAACTCGCCTAGCGATCGTGTCTGGATCATGGCGACCCAGTGCCAAAACACTCGGGCCTGTTTCGGTCCCGTGCGTATCTTCGGCGGTCCTGCGAACAAGCCCTGCCCAGAAAACGCACGTGGAATTTCAATACAGCGTTCCCGAAAACAGGCGCTGCCTAATGGATATTCCGAAACTTCCGAAACTTCCCAATGTAAACTGGTGTCAGCGGTCTCGCGTGCAAGCCCTGCCTACACATGTCCAATGAATCCACTGTAGACTCGTGTCAGCGGTCCTGCGTGCAGACCCTGCCTGCACGATTCCAGAAGCACGCCACTGGTGTCAGCGGCCCAAGAACAACGCCAAAACTCGGCGCTACGGTCGTGGGAAATTCCTGGTGGCAGACCCAATCTGACAGCCACAATCGGATAAGAGCCTTTCCGCTGAGAGACAAGCTACGGTGTCAAATGTTGTGGTCCCGTGGCGGCGCTCGAATCCCCCCCACACAAAAGGGCGGCGATGGTTCACGAACCGCTGAATCTTCGGGCTATTCAACGGCTCGCGAGGTCACCGATTGAGAATTCTCATGAGCCCCCCCGACAACAAGTGTCGCATTTCAAGCCATTCCTCTTCCTCCACCAGCTCGTCATCATCGTAATCATGATGATTCCATTACCACGATCACTCACTCTCATCATGCCCCTCAGACTCTGACCCCGCCTCAGGCAGCCGCAAAGCGGCTGGCGCTCACATGTGACGGCCATATGTGCGTTTGCTCATCACCTGTCGGCGGTGGACAAACCTCCCTTTAGTAAACCTCCCTTTAGTGAAAACGGCCTGGGACCGAAACCGACGGACCTGGACCCGCAAAAATGACGGCCGCGACGCCCTCTCGCGAACCGAAAACGGTCAATTCCTTAATCGACGTGTCGGGGTAGGAGGTCTATCCACTTCCGACCCTGGGCGACTCCAGCATGGGACCCGTGGGGGGCCATCCAAGGAGAGCATGCCGGGGGCGCGCCGAGGAGCCCAGGTGGTCTGGTTATCGGAAAACTAGTCCAGGTCATCTGCTGACCCATGGCCAACGCGTGCCTGAGAAGACTCCAAGGACGCCTGGACCGCGCAAGGCAAGGATGCTGAGAATCCCCACTGCGAGATGTATGTGGGGAAGACTTGGCGAAGAATTTCGAGCACGGGGGGTACCCATGCCTAAAAAAATCCGGAAGAAGAGTGAACTCTCAGGCCGTGTGGGCGCTGGCGCGCGGGCCCCCCGCACCCCCGCCCCGGCACAAGCAGGGGAGGAAGAGCGCGAGAGCCCAGAATGCAGATGCCATGCAATGGCTGTACTGAGAAACCGTACTAGTGTTACTTGCAAGCTACTGTGTGTCCTATCTCCGAAATCGGCATGTTATGCGGTCTGCTCCTTCCCAATCGCTGTTCGATTCTGCTTCCGTGCTCCCAGGTCGCGATCCTGCAGTGCTTCCTGATTTCTTAGTCACGAGTCTGCACTGTTTCCCTGGATGCCTGAATCGCAATTCGATAAGACTAGTTGTTGCACTGCAGGACCAGGTGCGCTCCAGGAGCAGATGCGCGGCAGTACATGATGGTGCCAGTTGTACTCAAGGACTGGGTGCACTCTTAGCTAGAGGGGTTCAGGGGCTCCAGTGGCATTGCGCGCGCGGAAGAAGGAAACAACTCCAAGCGCCGCCAGGGGTCCCGGGCTCACAAAGTCGCCGCGACGGTGGACCCCCCGAGGAAGGAAGGACAAATCCGGCTGTGGGGGTTGGGGGGTCGAGGCTTGAGTCGCGGGGGCGATGTTTGCTCCAAAGGTCGCCGCATAGACTGGGGCAGGAGGAAGAAGGGGAAACGAAGAGGAACTGGCGCATAATGCAATCGAAGGAAATGCACATTATGACTTGATGAGGCATGAGGCCGACGCCGAGGACGAGGAGATGAAATACTGACACGACGCGAAAGATCGCGCTACATGTTGTGGCCCTCCCAAGCCCAAGGACACGAGGTGTCACACATGACGGCCTCCCGCGCCCTGTCGAACAGTCGCCACCTAGAATGCTGTGCTGGCACGGTGGCGGGACTGACCGCAGGCAGCTGGATAATTCTCGCATCTGCTCGAGACTCGTCGCACGCTGCCGTGCGTCCAGCTCCCTGGCCCGCTCCAGCTCTGCCAACGCCTTCTCGCGGTCATTCGCCTCCTCCACCGCATCCGCGTACCTTCTCTGAAGCACCTGGTTGGCCTCCTCGCGCTGTGCAAGCTCTGAGCTGTGGACTGCCATGGTCTGCGACAGTGCGGCTGCAGCATCGCTCTCGTATCTACTGTACGCCTGCTCCAGCTCTGCCAACGCCTTCTCGCGGTCATTCGCCTCCTCCACCGCATCCGCGTACCTTCTCTGAAGCACCTGGCTGGCCTCCTCGCACTGTGCAAGCTCTGAGCTATGGACTGCCATGGTCTGCGACAGTGCGGCTGCAGCATCGCTCTCGTACTTGCTGCACGCCTGCCGCAACTCCCCAACCTGCACATCCAACTCGTCCATGCGCTTCACTTTCGCGAGATATTCGGTGACCTCCTCGGCCGCTGCTGCGTGCCTCCTGTGGAGCTGCTGGTACGCCGCCTCGTGCCGTTCAATCTCAGAGGCGTGATGCGCCGTGGCATGCGAGAGTGCTGCCTCGGCGTCCTTCTCACTCTTGCGGTGGGAATCCTGGACCTCCTTGACGGCTTCGGCGCAGTTCCTCTCGAGATGCTGGCATGCCGCGAGGCACTTGTCGGTCTGCGTAGTCGCTGCCGTACACTTAAGCTGGAGCTCCTGCTGTTGCTCAACAGACTCTGCATGGTCTGCCAATGCCTGCGACAGGGCGGCCTCGCAATTGTGGTACGCCTTCCGCAATGCATCCTGCTGCGCCGCGCGCTCCTGCAGGTCCTGGCCGCACTCCTGCCTCAACTCTGTCAAGGCCTTATTCAGCCTGGCTGCCTCCCCAACCTCTGCATGATGTCTCATCTCCAGCTCCTGGTAGGCACTCTCTCGCTGTGCTGCACTAGAGCCATGGTCTGCGACTTTCTGCAGAACGCTTTCTGCATCTGCCTCGCACTTTCGGTATGCTTCCTTCAACTCATCGAAGCTGGCCACTGTCTCCGATACCTCCTGGTCGCGCGCTTGCAACAACGCCGATAAGGTCTTCATCCGTTCCGCGAACCCCTCCACCATCGTGTCATGCTTCCCCTCCAGCTCCTTGCAGGCCTTCTCCGTGTTCGCCTCCCGAGGACTACCAACATCCTTCTGCCGAGGTCCGAAAACAAAGCGCGGCGGCGTTCTGCTGACAGAGAAGGCAGAGCCCTGCGATGGACTTCGACTAACTGCCATGCGCTGCGATTGGCTGAGGCCGCCGCTGCTCATGGCTGCGATCGACTTCTGGTCGCTCTGCACGCCAGGGCCCAGGTGCGGCAAGATGGCCGTGGCCAGCTGCTGCCCCAGCGCGCGGAAGCCGACGGGGGTGAGGCTGCGGCCGCCCCCGCTCCAGAGCTGGCCGCCGCTGCAGGGCACGCTCTGCTCGCCGCCCTCGCACCCGAACTTCGACATGTCGTGGAAGGCGACCGCCTGCGGCGTGGCCTTCACCCAGCGGGCCAGCAAGTTGTTCAGCGTCTGGGCGGACAGCCTCTGCCGCGTCTGCACCGGCGTGGCGGCGCTGCGTGACGTCTCCGGGCCGCCCGGGATGATTAGGCCGCTCGGCGGCACCAAGACGACCGTCGGCGTCTTGCGCGCGTGGCAGGCCTGGTGCAGCCGGCACAGCTCCGTGTAGATGGTCGCGGGCTGGGAGATGGCCCTCGGGCTGACCGAGATGACCACGAGGTCGTAGGGTTCTCCCTGCTCGAGGACGGGTATCAGGCCCCTGCCGACGTGCCCCGACTCGTCGGTGACAGTGGGGCAATGCCGAGGGGGGTCACCACTAGGGGGCTCGCCACTTCCTCGAGGAAACGCCACTTACTCGAGGAATTCGGCCCACAAGATCAATGCCGAGCCTCCCAAAACGACCTCGAACCTCCAAAAATCTCCTGAAGCTTCGATCCCGCAACGTCGATTTCCAGAAGGAGCTGGTGACTCCCCTACACGGGCGGTGCTAGATTTTTGGCCATAAGACGTCAGGCTTTCGACGCCCCCCCCACCCCCATGTATAATCCGAACGACAATCAGTCGGTTGGATTTCGTTCCGAATCTGGTGGCCTCGTACCCCGTAGCAACACGATAATATGTGGTTGAAACACCGGTGTGATAATCACTCCGTTCCAGAGTGGGGCCAGAACTCACTCCGATTTGGACCCAATTGCGCTGCAATCGCTCCGCGTGGAGCATTTGAGCTCATCATGATCGTCTTCGTTATCGTCGTCGTCATGTCCATTCCGGCGGGCCATCCCGGAGAGCCCACGACGGCTCGCGACTCCTCCTCGGGGCACGTCTGCATCCTCGTGGGCCGTGGGCGGCAGGCGGACCGGCCTGTGCTATTCTCCGCCGATGGTCAGAAACTCGAGCACCCTGCAAGCAGTGACCCCCCTTGGCACTGCCCGAGATGGAGGCTGCACCGATCGAGGACACCAGCGCGGCGGGGCCGAGGCCGCTGAGGCCGCAGACGGCCACCTCGCAGGAGACGCCGGCGGCCTCCATCGAGGGAGGGGGGGAGGGAGGTGCAGGAGGAGGAGGAGGAGGAGGAGGAGGAGGAGGAGGAGGAGGAGGAGGAGGAGGAGGAGGAGGAGGAGGAGGAGGAGGGAGGAGGAGGAGGAGGAGGAGGAGGAGGAGGAGGAGGAGGAGGAGGAGGAGGAGGAGGAGGAGGGAGGAGGAGGAGGAAGGAGGAAGAGGAGGAGGAGGAGGAGGGGAGGAAGAGGAGGAGGAGGGGGGGAGGGAGGAGGACATCCGTAGCCATGCAGGCTCAAGCAGTTCTGGCTCGAGGGCCAGCGGGGGCCCGAGCCGCGGTCGCCCCGGCGGGGGGACTGCCGCGCGGCAGGGCGGCCCCGGCCCGGGGCCGACAGTGGCCGGGCGGGCGCATGATCCATGGCATCTCGGGTCGCGCCGAACACGGCCCCGCCTCGCTCCTCGCTCCTCCTCTCTCCTCTCTCTCTCTCTCCTCCTCCTCCTCCTCCTCCTCCTCCTCCTCCTCCTCCTCCTCCTCCTCCTCCTTCCTCGCTCCTCGCTCCTCCTCCTCCTCCTCCTCCTCCTCCTCCTCCTCCTCCTCCTCCTCCTGGTTCCAGGAGTTGGAAGCCTTGTGCGGCGGCGGCGACCTACCAGACCACCCCAACCCAACCCGAAGACCCGAATTTGACCCGAATTTCGGGTTGGGGGGGGGGGGTGCGGGTTCCACGTGTTTTTTCAACGTGCCCCGACCCCCCCCAACCGGAAATGGAGGGCAGATTGAGGCCTTCGGGCTGGGTTGGGGTGGTTTGGTGGGTCGCGCCGGACACGGCCCCACCTCGCGGTTCCAGGAGTTGGAGGCCTTGTGCGGCGGCGGCGACGGACGAGCCCGCATCGGGGGGCAATATAGACGACAAGCGAGGATGAAGCGAATGGCGGTGCGGCAAGCTCACTGGTGGTGTCGCCTCCGACCTGTGTACCCACACTGGGCTGAAGTCACACCAACACGTAACCCAGGGGGCAGATACGGAATCTCAGACATCTCTGCTCCAAGAGTTGGCGGCAGCAGTGCGACGGATCGAATACGACGTACAGACGATACGACAATCAGCGGGCTCAAGACTCAGCAGGGCAGTGTTGGACGGGATCGGGTCTCGTCCCCGGTTCAATCAGCAGCGCAATTTTGGACAATCAGCGGGCCCTTTGTCACTGGTCTCGTGCAGTGTTGGACGGAAGCCAGCGTAGCGCCAGGCGTCAGCAGATACAGATACGATACGAATTGTGAGCATAGCCAGTGGCAGCAGATAGCATATATATATATATATATATATATATATATACACATACATATATACATGTCTATATATATATATCGATAAGACTGCACTGGCGCTTCGCGCTGTGCACCTTGGTCCTTGAGGTTTTGCATATGTTGGTCGTTCGCGCCATCCATAGTGGCCTTGGAAATTTGACCCCTTCCCTGCGGTGGTTTTCGGAAGTCTTCGAAAATTCGGGAGGTCCCTGGCCCTTCTCGGGCCTCTGGGGGCTCCCGAAAGGCGCGAGGAGAGGGAAGCGGATGTGGGGGAGGACGAGTGGTGGAGCGGCAGAGAGAAGAGGAGGAGGAGGAGGAGGAGGAGGAGGAGGAGGAGGAGGACCAGTAGAAGCCCAAGAGTCATCAACGATGTTGGAAAAAACCCTCTCTCCAAGCTCCCTTCTCATAGGCCCCTGCAACGGTTCATTTTCTTTATTGAGAGAACTGCCTCGTTGGAAGCCAACCGTTTCCGTCTGAAGACCCTGAGGCATGCCAAGATACTGCTATCAGGAGTCCAACGCCACGGACCAACCTCACTGTTGCGTTCTGGCGATCCAGATATCGTGCCGGAACGCCACTCGTGGGACTTCAGCACCGCGAACCAACGTAACTGCTGAGCCCGCACAAAATCCAGAATCCTGCCAAAACGCTATGTCTGGTACCTTGATCATGGGAATCCGTAAAGCTCTTGCCGATTGTATAAACGAATGTGCGCGGCGCTAGAGCGGGAACCACATATTGAAAAAGAGCCGTCCTCAATCCGTGAAAATCTTGCAATCTGTTAAGACGTGTGTGCGCGGCGCTGAGGAGGGAGCCACGTTTTGAAAAGGAACCGCCCTCAATCCGTGAACGTCTTGCAAAAAAACAATGAACGCGGCGCTAGAGCGAGAGCCACATTTTGAAAACTGGTCGCCCTCAATCCCTGAAACTCTTGCAAAGTGTAAAACGAATGTGCGCAGCGCTAAGGCGAGAGCCACATTTTGAAATCGACCCACCCTCCATCTGCGAAGCTGTTGCCAATGTTTGAGTTTCAGGGTCATAAATGGAAAGGAAATCTCAGGCGAAATGCTCAGAACGCCCTAAAAACTTGCCTCTGAGTGCGACAGGGAGAAGTTATCTATAAGGAAAAGGAATGGAGGAGGACGAGGAGGAGGAGGACACAGATGAGGAGCAGGAGGAGGGAAAGAGATGGCGACGTCGGGCGGGTTCATGTGTACGTACACGCTTGCAGACATGTCTGGCAGTGAATGACGACAGAAGGCCTTTGTGTGCCCGCACATTGACCCGCTCGTGGCTCAGGTGCCCTGGCGCGCCATGCGAAGCCATGCGAATGAATGCCAAGCAAACCGACGCAATGTCAAGCAATGCCGCAAAGAACAAAGGCAATGCCAAGCCGAGGATTTCATGTTGCAGCGGGTCGCAACGGGACACGCGAAAATAAGTAATTAGGGGAATGCACCGAATCCAGAGTTAGCAACAGATTTCCGGGAAATGTGGTTTGTTAACCTGGGATTCGGGTCAGTTTGGTGGAACACGCCCTGTGGGCATTGTTGGAGCCCTGGTGGGCCGGGGCTCATGGCTCTCTCGAGCCGTCCTGGGGCCATCTTGGGCCGTGTTGGGGAGCTTGGGTCCTCTAGGGACCTTGCGGGGGCTACGTGTGCCCTCCTTGTGACTTCCCATGGCCTTTTCGGGGGCATCCCATGGTCTTCTTAAGCTTCTCTTGGAGGCCTTGTGAGGGCCTGTTGGGATTCTTTGTGGCCCATTTTCGGCTTCTTTGGCAAGTCTTGGGGCCATCTAGGCCGTCTAGAGGCTCTCTTGGGGGTCTCTTGGGCCGTCTTCGGCCGATACCGGAAGTGGACGCTGCTAAGACCCGAACAATGAATATGCTGAAAATATACGTTTCCCTCAGGGAATGAAACGATTTTTGCGTTCTGGAAGTCCTGTTGAGGGCCTCCTGGGCCGTGTTGGGGGCCTCTGGAGGCCATCTGGGTCCTTCTTGGAGCGCTCTTGTGCTGTCTTCGGTCTCTCTTCGGCCTCTCTGATCACGGCTCTGATCGCTCGGGGTCTGCTGGCAAGACCCGGCTGAGCGCCCTGGGACTGGGGACCTCTGGCAACGGTGTCTGGGGGGCCGGAAACCCTGGATCCTGGGGGTCCGGTTTTGGGGGTGGGGGGGTGGGAAGGTTTTCCCACCCCCCGGACTTTCTCGTCCTGTGAAGGAGGAGACGGAGTGGTGCATCAAGAGGTGGCCCAAGAAGTGGTGCAGTGCCATCAGCTACAGACCAGAACGTGTGGTGCGAGAAGTGCCGGCAGTGGCAGCCAGCGCAGCGCGCGAGCAAGAGCGGCAGCAGCAGGCAATGGCCGCAGTGGCTACGAGCGCGGCGCCGAGAAGCACAAACCCGCCACCACCAGCTGCGAGAGTGGCACACCGAAGTGCGAGCCCGACGCCATCAGCTACGAGGCTGGCGTCACGAAGCACGAGCCCGACGCCGACAGCTACGAGGAGGGTGGCGACGCGCACTACGAGCGCGATGCCATCAGCTACGACGGTGGACGCCCGGATACCCCCCGCCAAGGGGACTGGGGAAAAGGCGCTCGCAGCACCTGGCATCGGGGAGAAGGGGGACAGGCGGGGAGAGAAGGGGGCGACGACGACGAGAAGAGAAGAAGACGAGGAGGGGAGGATGCCTGAACATGCGCGCAGCACGCAGCACACACACCACAAGCCGCGAACCGACACGCACGCAGCACCAGGACAAACACACACAGAGAAGCTCAGCACCCACACCGCCAGGAAGGATGCACGATAATTTCCATAGTGGGTACACGTCGTTCTTTTCTAATCGTGTTCATTTCTAATCGTGCTCGTTTCTAATTGCTCCTGGCCCCCCGTGGCCAGGGAGAGGCCCAGGACAGAACAATTAGGAATGAAAAGATCTTGGCCCCCCAAAAAAGTCAAAGACCTTTCGAATACTTAGAAATGAACAATAGGTACGCTTAACAGCTCAGAGCTGCTCTGAATCCTGAGATCGCAGAGCACACATTGTATTTCCCTGACGGCCTGGAGCCCGAGACGCGGAAGAGCGAAGCCGAGCGGAGAGCCTAAAAGCCATAGGCCAAGGGCGGGAATAAGCGGGGAAGAGAGGGATACCCGAACAATGACATATTCTCCTCGTCTGCAGCAAAACATCTGGGCTGAACCTGAACGGTTTTTTTCCCTACCTAGGCTCTGCCTAGAAGGGTTATTACTCGGTATGCTTAAAGAGCCGGGCAGTGCAACTCGCCCCGGGCGGTTCCCCCAGTATCCGCCCCGCGGTTCCCCCAGCTACGTCCCCTTAGCTTAACGTTGCCTATCTCATCTTAGCTTAGCTTATTTCATCTTAGCTTAGCTTAGCTTCGTCTTAGCTCAGGCTTATCTTAGCTAGCTTACCTTCATCTTAGCTTCGCTGAGCTGTAGCATAGCAGAGCACAACATAGCATAACGTAGCATATCATAGCGCAGCACCGCATATCGTAGCATTGGTGCAATTCCTTACCTAGGCTCTGCTTAGAGGGATAGTTTAGCTTAGCTTAGTTTAGCTTAGCTTAACATGGCGCAGCGCTGCATTAGCATAACATAGCAAAGCATAACATAGCCAAACGTAGCATTGTATAACGCAGCATAGCATAGCATAACATAGCATCGCATCGCATAGCGCAGTTTAGCATAGCATAGCTAAGCTTAAATGGCCGGGCAGTGGGGCTCGCCCCGGGCGGTTCCCCCGGCATCCACCCCGCGGTTCCCCCAGTGACGTTCCCTTAGCTTCGCGTTGCTTATCTCATCTTAGCTTAGCTTATTTCATCATACCTAAGCTTAGCTTCATCTTACCTCAATTTTATCTTAGCTTAGCTTACCTTCATCTTAGCTTCGCTGAGCTCTAGCATAGCAGAGCACAGCATAGCAGAGCGTAGCACAGCACAGCGCAGCACAGCATATCATAGCAAAGCCCAGCATAGCACAGCAAAGCGCAGCATGGCATAGCATAGCATAGCATAGCATAGCGCAGCACATCACAGCACAGCATAGCACCGCGCAGCACAGCAGAGCATAGCATAGCACAGCAGCAAGGCAAAGGCAAAACAACAGCAGCGACAGCAAAGCGAAGCACAAGCAACGCAAAGCAAAGCAAAGCAAAAGCAAAAGCAAAGCAAAGGCAAGGCAAAGCAAAAACAATGCGCGACAAATGCCGAGCTGGCCTCGATGGCCGGACCGGAACCCCCGCAAGCAGTGCCTTCCGTAACCATTTCGGCTCAAGTCCGGAGGCTCCTGCCGCACAGCCGCCCGCGCTCATGTCCCGAGGTTGGCGGAGTGAGGCGTTCAGCGGTGCTGCAGAGCCCGCCTCGACACCAAGTGGTGCTGCACAGCCCACCCGGCCTGTTGTGGCCATCGATGTGGGCGACGTCGCGTCCAAGCGGAACGACGATGAGCGGGTTGAAGGCAGCATGATGTACACGGCTGTCGAGGATGGCTTCTGGGCGTTCGTTGTGCTCTTTGCGGCTGAGTGCGGTCTGCAAGACATGCACTTCATCAGTCGCACGACGCGGGGCACGTGGTACTCGCGCCATGCCCGCCTGGGCAGGGTAGAGGCTTGGGTCGTCAGGCTGATCCGGAGCACAGGCTTGCTCGAGATGGGGATGCCTGACGCGAACATCCAATCTGCAATGCTGCACAGCCTGCACACGCAATATGGCGGTTCATGGGCACGTGAACGGAGGAGAAGTCGTCGACTGACAACAACAGGGGGGACGCGACGGAGAGGGAGGACATCGGCGACGACGAGGACGAGGGGCCGCACAAGCGCCGGCGCCGCGAGTGAGCGAGCGGCTCGCGCCTCGCAGCTCACGGGTCGCGCCTCGAAGCGCGTGCTTCGACAAAAGAAAACACCAACATCAAAACAAAACAAAAAGCAACACCAAAAGCAAACACACAAAGAAAAAACAAAACAAAAAACAAGACAATGCAAAACAACAGCAACACCAATACGAAAGTGCAGCTGTATATGTAAATGTAGTTGTGGGTTTAGATGTTGATGTAGACGTAATTGTATATGTAGGTGTAGATGTAGATGTAGATGTGAGTTTCGCTGTTGACGTTGATGTGGATGTAGATGCAGGTGTATATGTTGATGTAGCTTTCGGTTTAGATATAGATGTTGCTTTCCTAGATCCTCCAACTCCTAGGTAGGGTCGCACTGGGATAATTCGTTTTCGGTTTGCTTTCGTTTTCCATTGTTGTCTTCAATCCGCCTTTAACGCAAAACGAAACCACAACGAAAACGGCCCACGAAATCGCCAAAACACCGTTTAGGTTCACCACTGCAGGAAATCTCATGAGGAACCTGGCGATTGCGTCGTGCATATAGCTCTGATCGTACAGCATGGCGCCAACAGGGAAGAGTGCGCACGCAGCCCCTGAATGGAAAGCATCCCGAGGAACGCCGCATTCGCCGACTTGCGATAAGCAAGCTCGCGCAATGAACCCGGGCCAGCCGAGGCAGCGTGTTGGGTCGTGAGGAATTGACAACATGGGGTGATATCCTGAAAACAAATGGATCACACAGCGAAGTGCTTCAGGTTACCATGACAACGGCAGCCCAAGAAACACACACACACACACACACACACACACACACGCACACACAGGGCCACCCACACACTTTCTCAGCGGCGAGGAGGACCCTCAGGCGCAAGCAGCAGATGGAAGTGCGAACTGCGACCGAACTCTGTCGAAAGCACAATGTACAAAACGTGCACACCACCAGTGCAGCGATGGGTGGCGTGAAGGAGGAACCGTAAATCCAAACAGACCGTGCAGCGGCCAGAAAACCTAGGAGGCGGCTCAACTCGAAGTAGACTGAAGTGCGAGCAGTCTGGTGCGAAACACGCGCAAACACACACGCACTTTTTAAGACGGCGGTGCAGAGGGTCCTCAAGCGCGGGTAGCAGACGGAAGTGCGAATTGCGATCGAGCGTTGTCGAAGGCACAGTGTACGAGACGTCGCACACTGTAAAGCGCAAGCGAAAGGTGGTGCTAGAAGGTCTGTAATCCCAAACGTAAACGTGCCGCGGCCAGAAAACTGAGGAGACTCGAGTCAAAGCGGAGTCACACACACACACAAACACAAACACACACACACACACACAACGGTTCTTCGCTCCGAAGGCGTCAGGCCATCCCCGATAAGCCAGACCGAGCTTGAGCTTCCACGCGTTCCCCGCACCAGGAGGTAAGTGGGGGCCCGGGCAAGGACCGGGTTCGACCTCTCCCCGCGAGGCCGCGGCGATCTCGGGCCCGCTCCCTCTCCTCCCCTTGTCTCCCTTGTCCTCGCCTGCTCCCCCCCGTCTCATTCCCCCTCCCACTCGCCTCGCCCGTTCCCCCGCCCCCTCCGTCGGCCGTTCTGCCCTACGGAAGCCGCGCTGGATCCCACCCGCAATTGCATTCCCCGCAGGCCTGCAGCGCCATGCAGAGCGCGCGGCCTGGCGGTTCGTGGGACACGGGGCGATGGCAGGTCCTCCTCTTCCTGCTCTTCCCTCTGCTTCTCCCCGTCCTCCTACGACTCCCTTCCCCGGCTGCTGCTGCTGCGCCTCCTTCTCCTCCTCCTCCTCCTCCTCCTCCTCCTCCTCTTCCGCCTCCTCTTCCGCCTCCTCCTCCTCTTCTGCCTCCTCCTCCTCCTCCTCTTCCTCCTCCTCCTCTTCCGCCTCCTCCTCCTCCGCGAGCGTGCGCTCCAGCTCGTTCCTCATCCTCCTCATCCTCCTCCTCTTCCTCCTCCTCCTCCTGTTCCTCCTCCTCCTCTCTGCCTCCTCCCTCCCTCCTCCTCCCCTCTCCTCTTCCTCCTCCTCTTCTGCCTCCTCCTCTCCTCCTCCTCCTCCTCTCCCCGCCCTCCTCCTCCTCCGCGAGCGTGCGCTCCAGCTCGTTCATCTTCGGCCGCGCGCGCGAGCCCCCCCCCGCCCCTCCCTCCCCCCCCAACGAATGCTTGATGAATGGCGCACGCTGGCCGAGGGGAACTGGCCAGTCGTGGAGTCTGTGAGCCCGCTCACCTGCCCGAGAAATTCATCGAGATTCCCATCTATTGCCATCTGCGACGTTCTGAGCGTCCGCCTGAAAGACTGGGAGCATGAACGGCCTCATTTCAACAGATGGACGCATGGGTTCACGAAGGGGTTCGCCCAGGCAGGGTGGGCCAGTGCCGCGGCCCCATTGTCCAAGGGGGGTGGCCGACCTGGTGGCATGCGTGGAAGAACAACAGTCTCTGCAAACAGCGCGGTGGGGTAGTTCGGGCACAGCGGATCAATGCAGCTTCGCAGCATTGCGGTGGATGGACGGCCGTCTTCATTGATCAGTCTGCTGGCAGCAAAGATCGCCTATTGTCTGCGCTGTGTCTGCAAACTGCTGAGCGGCAATGCCCATCTACTCGCGCATGCTGTTCCTCAGATTGTAAGGTGTGGGATGGGAATCTGCCATGCGAAGGCCGCGAAGGGCCGTGGCCTTTCCATGTGAAACCAGAATATATCCATCTGGGCTACGAGCTAGAGCATACTTCGATGAATAAACCTGTGCCTTACTGCAAAATCATGTCTTTCTTTCTTCTCGTTTCTCCTCTGCTCTGTCCGGCCGATTTTCCATCATCCTAATTCCTTGTGTTTGCCGCTGGGCTGTTTTCTTGCTGTGCGCAGCGTTCCATACTGAATTGCGTGATTCCGAAGTGCCTGTGCAATCCGACGTATGCTGTCGCTGGGGGCAGCCCGCTGCGACCCCCTCGTGCCCAGCACACCTCTGGTGGAGTCGCACCGCCTTCGGCCACATCGTGCCTCGATGCGTCCGTCCTTCTGCCCTCCAGGGCTGCAGGCATGGACCGGGAAGGGCCCGCTGACAGAGCCGCTCTGCACAGGCGCACCGGGTCGTCCCTCCTCCTCTGAAGGGGCCCTGGGACACACAAATAAATAGACACAAATAAAAGGATTCCCCATATTTTCCCATATTTTCTGGGTGTTCGTCTTTCCCCCCACTTCCCATATTTTCCCATATTTTCCTGGGAGTCGACGATTAATTGTGTCTGTGTGTTTTTTCCCTCCTGACTCCTCCTCCTCCGCCTCCCGTGCCGCCCTGCGGCCTGGAGGCTCGAACTCGTCGGGCGCCCCGTCCGCGCCGCCGGAGAGGCAGCGGCCGGCCACGGACTCGTCGCCGTAGCAGAGGATCCTGCTCACCTCGCGGGCGGCCACCGCGGAGGAGAGGGGCACGGGCGGCGAGCGACGGGGGGGGGCAGGGCGCGGAGGAGGAGGCCCTCTCAGGAGGCGGCGGGGCTTCTCGGAGGCCCTCGCGCCCTCGGGGAGGCTCTCGGGGTCCTTCGGGGAGAGCTCCGAACACCTCTCGGGAGGCCGGGGGGGGGGCTTCCGAGCCTGCTGAGAAGGCCCGCCCGTTGGCACTTCCTCCCCGGGCCCGCCGCCGAGGGTAGGAGGCCAGCTAGCCTTGCGGATGCCATGGCAATGGACACTCTAACAATCCGATCCTTGAATTAAAGATGTGTTTTCACATGTGTAGAACATGTTATAAACATGTTTCAAACATGTGCTTTACAGATTTGAAACATATGTGAAACATCTTTTAGACATCTGGGCATTATTTGGCAGCATGCTTCCTCTCCATAAGTCGCCTTCCACAAAACTAGCCACGTCGAGCGAGTCAGCAAGTCCAGCCCGTTCCCACTTTCCCTCCGCTTGCACAAAACGCAAGAGCGGCACAACTGAAGACTTGGACTGGACCACGTTCCCACCTGGCGACCGTCAGGCGCTCGCGCGCAGTCCCGCTTCCGACGACTGGGCGACGTGCTGTGTTCCGACAACGAAGATGGGTGGTGATCATGGGGCTTTGAAAAGTACACCCTGCGAAATGCTTAAGAAATCATGGGTCAAGAAATTCATAGCTCAGAACTTGAATGTAACCCAGAACTTCTATCAAAATCTTGAGATTTACATCGAAACATTAAGAATAATCGAGACTCTGGCCGAAAACTTGGGTTTTCTTTACCATCGCCTAAGGTGTAGAGGGGTCGGAGGTGCCAACATCCGAACATCGTTTGAGACATCCTCACAGTCTGGACGCGCACACGGGCACGTGCAACACCCGCTGGCGGCCTCCCCCCCTTGGGGTGCCTGAGTGCTCTGCCTGCCACAGCGCGGCAGCCATGGGGCTTTGACACGAGAGGGGCCAGTGTTAAGTCGCGCCTGTCCCTCTGCAGGGGGGGTATTCAAGAATTGTCAGAAATAGTCTGGGGACTACGCTCTGAATATGCTTGAGCATCTTTTGAATCTGTTTTGGATCTTTTACTTCTTCGTCCAAGATCCCCCTGTAGGGGGACAGGCCCGACCTAAGGCCAGTGTGCGGCGAAACGAAAGACTACTCCGTCGTCGCGAAAGTTCGGCCAACACGCAGCGCTTCCCATTGGGCGGCGGGGCTCCAACACAATCTTGCCAGGGTGCGTCTCGGTGCTTCACCACCGTTTTGCCACTGGCCCAGGAAGGTTCCACCTCTGTCATGGGGGTTTCCCGAGTGAGCTCGCCGTTTGGAGCTCGGACGGACGAGTTTCGACTTCGGCCGAACACTTTTCTTCAATAGTGGTCCCAATTTTGAAATGCCATGCGGTTTTGTGACATCCGAGCGGGCGCGATCTGCCGTCCGTGGCCTGGCTAGCACACACACAGACACACACACAGACACACTGACACACACACACACACACACACACACACACACACACACACACACACACACACACACACACACACACACACGCACACCCACACACACACACACACCCTGTGGGAAACCGGGTGTTGGCGGGAGGGGCAGGGAAATTCCCCCCCCCCCCTCCATGGGAACTGGGGTGGTGGTGAACCCCCCATGTTTCCGGAAACCAAGGGGAATGGGGGGGGAGTGCAGAACCTCCCCCCGTTCGATCCGGAGGGGGGGCAGAAGGCTCGAAAGGCTCGGCCCAGCTCCAACCGATTCCTGCCACTAGGGATGGATCCAGCTCTAGTAGAATCCTCCTAGGGTTCGCCCCCATCAAATCTTGCTATTAAAACTGGCTCCACTTCTAATCCACCGACCCTGTCGGCGTGTGTGAGGGGGAATTCTGGGCCCGTCGTCGCCAAGAGTCCCTAAGAGACGATATTTCATTCGACTTGCTCTTCCATTCCCGTAGACTTTCCCGAGACCCTCTGTGGCGCGCCAAGCTCGTCAATTCGAGGTAAATCGAGCCAGGTCGCAATCGAACTCGTAAGTGGGTCGAAGGGAAGCCCCTTCCCTTTGCTCCCTTCTCCACCCAGGGGGGGGGTCCTGGACGGGAGTCCCGGAGGGGGGGGGGTCTGGGAAGGGGCGGCCCGGGGTCAGAATGCGGTCCCCATTTTCCCTTGTCCTGCAGCCTTCGAGCAAATTTGCCCCGATGCTCGAAGAGGGGCCCCAGAGGGCCCAGACCATTGCTCCAACACGCCCAGGATGGCTTGCAGACTGCCCAAACCGCCTTCAACACGCCTCGAAAAGGCCATGAACATTCCCAAAGGGACATTGATTTTGTTCTAATGTTTGACATATTTTCGCGTTTCTGCTTGCCTGTCCGGCTTTCCGACGCTCCACAACAGCTCGGGAAGTCCCAGAGATCGGCCCAAGACCGTCTACGAGGCCGTCAAAAGGGCGCCGAGACGGCTCCAAAGACCTCCGAGACGGCCCAAGAGGCCTCCAAGACGGCCCAAAACTGCCCCGAGAACGCTTCAAGAGGGCCCCCAAGGGCGAACACGAACCGACATTTTGGAGCTCACCGCCCCAAGAGGCTCCTGGGAGGCCACAGGAGACTCCCAAGAGGCCCCCAAAAGGCCACAAGAGGCCACAAAGAGGCCCCCAGGAAGCGCCAAGACGCCCCCAAAAGGCTCCGAAGGGATGCCAACAAGCACCCATGGGGATTCAAACTCCGCCAGGATTCAGACCCAGCTGGACGGTTTCCGGCCAGGCTTCCGCCCCCGCGCCGCCCGCAGTTTCGAGCCACCCGGAGCGCCAGTGGGGGACGCAGACTTCTGCGCGGAGCACACACAGCAGCGGGTCGCGAGCGCCACCGTGCTGCTGGAAGCTTTGCGGGCGCTCGAAAGCGCACAAGTCGCGCTGCATCTGCTGCGACAGTGCGCGCCCTTTCTGCAAGCTGGGCTACTCGGCGCGGGTAGTGCCGCCCACCGCGCACACCGCCTCCCCGCTGGCCATGGACGACGCCGTCCAGGCCTGCCTGGAGCAACTGAGCGGCTGCTCGCCCACCGACGCCTCCTGGCGGCAGGCCCAGCTGAAGCTCAACAAGGGACGGCTCGGCCTTCGCTCCGACGCAAAACACGCCACCACTGCCGCCTACTTCGCTTTCCGGGCGAAGAGCACCGACCTCTGCTGTCGGCTCTACCCTGGCTACTCCAGTGACCGCGACGGGGGTAGCCTGGCGGCTGTGGTGCAGGCCCACAACGAAGTTGTGCGGGACGCCGACCGGGTGTTGTTTGACCACGAGTGGCACGGCGACCAGAAGGCCATGTCCGACGCGTCGGACATTGCCGAGCTCGACGGGCTCCAGGCCGACTCCGCCCTGGCCGGCAAGGCACACCCCTCCCTGGCGCAGGCCCCAGGCGCCAGCGCGTGGCTCCAGGCGCCGCCCTGTCAGGCAACTGGCGCCGCCTTCCCGCACGGCCTCATGCACTGTGCTCTGCAAGGGCGGCTGCGAGTCCAGCTTCTGGTTGAGGAGCGTTTTTGCTCAGCGTGTGGCGAGATGATGGACGTTTTCTGTGACCGCGCCTTGGTTTGCGCCTGCCGCGGCAAGCGGACCAAGCGCCACGACGCCCTGCGCAACCAGGCCTTCTTCGACGCCCTGGCCGCTGGCCACGCTGGGGCGGAGTTGGAGCGCGCGGGGCAGCTTCCCTCGCGCCCCGCTGGGACTTTGCCGCCACGCCCTGGATGTGCGCAGATCTCCTCGCCGCTTCGGCCGTTTCGTCAAGCGCGCCGACGGAACGGTGCGAGAAATTCAAAAGGCGGCAGTGCGTGGCGCAGGGCTGCACCTTCCTCCCCATGGTGGTGGAAGCCCACGGCGCCAGGCGGGGCCGCGAGGCACGCAGGACTTTCGGGGTCCTGGCCAAGCTGTTGGCCGACGCCACGGGGGAAGACGCCGCTATGGTCGCGGACCAACACGCCCAGCGACTCTCGATCTCCCTGCAAAGGGAGAGTGCGCAGGCGGCGTTGCGGCGCCTCCAGACGCAGTCTGGAGGGGCGGGGGTGGCCGCGGCCCGTTTGGCCGCGGCCACGGCGCCCCCCCCCCGCGCCTTTCCGTCGGCCGCCCCTTCCTCGGCGGGGCGGCGGATGGACCCCGCAGAGGGCAATCCCCACCAAGCCGCTGCGTGCTGGGCTCGGCCAGGCACACCACAACGATCCCGACGCTTTCCCCGACGCACAGCCCCACGCCCTGTCCCGCGCCCTGCCCTTCGCCCAGCCCCACCTCGAGCACGACGAGCCCGACGACGAACCCGACAACCGCCACTAGCTCCAGCACAAGTGTCGCCGCCGCAGTGTCCGTAGTCTCGTCGCGGGTGGCCCTTCTCTCCCGGCCCCTGTTCTGGCCCGTCTGCTTGCGGTTGCTCCCCTCTCCCTCCTCGCCTCCCTTCCCGCCTCTGCCTCGCCTGCTCCTCCCGTGTTCCCTGCTTGCCGTCTCCCCCTGTCCCCTCCCGCCTGCCCACCCGCCTGTGTCGTCCCGCCCGCCCTGGCGTCCCGCCTGCGCGTTTGGGATCCCGCGCCAAACGCAGATGGCATCCAGACCGCCAGATTCGGACCCACAACCCAGGCACGGTGATGGGATGGGCCGCTGGCCACTAGACAATCCAAGAGGGGCCTGAAATCGCCCGAGCTTCCCCAGCGAGCCTCCAGAGGGCCCCCACAGAATTCGAAGCAAACCTTCAACAGCATCATGCCAGGAACCTTTGGGATGACACTGTTTCGGGCTGTTTCGGGAGCCCTCTCGTTTTTTTTTTGTATTATTATTATTTTTTTTAATTTTTTTTTTTAAAGCCTCTTCGTGCCCTTTGGGGCCCCTCTTCAAGCCTTCTGGGACTTTCAGAGGGCCCGGAGAGAGCTCCAAGAAGCCTCCAAGAGAGCCCGGACAGAGCTCTCCGAGAGGCTTCCAAGGCACAATGGCGGGAGGGGCCGTGGGCCACCAGATCATCGACGAGGGGCCCGAAATCGCCCGAGCGCCCCAAGAGAGTCCCCAGAGGGCCCCCCACAGACTTCTCCAAGAGACGACCAGGCTCGCCTCCCAGATGGCCAGGATGGCGCTGCATTGCCGCCAAGACGATCCAAGATGCCCTCAAAGACGGCGAATATGACATAATATGACTCCGTCTGACCTCAGATGGTCCCAGAATGCCTCCAAGGCGGTCCCGGACGGCGGCAAGAAGCCACCATGAAGCCTGAAGAACCCCCCCGAAGCCAGTCGGAAAGGCAGGCCAAGCGTTGCACCTGAGACTTCCTTACCACTTGCGAGCCAGAAGGTTAGACCTTCACAGATGGAGAGCGG